ATGTAGGAGAGGATCGTGAACAGGAAGGGAACCCCACCCACCAAAAAGCTTGCTATGCTGATTGCCAGTTCGTTGATATGTGCATCACTGCAAGAAATTTTCGCCAGTGGGGGGAGATCACAGAAGATGTGATGAATCTGGTTGACTCCACAAAAGTGCAACTTGGAGCTGAGAGCTGCATGGAAAGCAGAGTCTAGGAAGCCCCAGACCCAGGTGGGAAAAGCTAAAATGGCGCACACCTTGGTGTTCATAAGGTGGGAGTAATGCAAAGGCTTGCAGATGGCGGCATAGCGGTCATAGGCCATGACACCCAGCAACGCGGCCTCTGTCCCTGTGAAAGACATCAGGAAGAACATCTGGGCCAGGCACTGGTTGTAGGTGATGGTCTGTTGCTGGCGCAAGAAGTTCACCAGGATCTTGGGGACTGTGACGGAGGAGAGGCAAATATCTAAGCAGGAGAGATGGCTGAGGAAGTAATACATGGGGCTCTGGAGGCTGGAATCCAATTGTATGAGAGTAAATATCATGAGGTTCCCCAGTACAGTGACCAAGTAAATGGCTAGGAATGGTAGGAAGAGGTAGATGTGGCTGTTTGGAATGCCAGAGAAACCCAGGAAGACAAATTCCACCACCTGTGTCTGATTCCTCACTCCCATTGAGAGCTCAGGACTCACCTGTAGGACGAGAGAAAGAAGTGGAGAAAATATATCTTCATCTTATGTACTGTGATTATCAATGGATCAAGGTGTCAATTTAGAATTCTTCACATAAATTAATGCTGTTTGTTGTTATGAGGAAGAAATGTTGCCCTCTAGGGCTATTGGTTGCAATCAAGGCGTAGGGAGATGGGGGCTCGTGCGCGGAACGGTGCTGCGAGTGGGCGTTCTCTCAGGACGCGCCCGAGAAGCCCGCTCCCTATTCGCTTTTTTGAGACCCCCCGAGCTTTCAGGGGGGGGGCCCTGCTTCGCCTCCTGGAGGGAGGGGAAGTTGCTGGGGGCGCGTACATGTCAAAGCCCATTGATAGTGATCACGGGGTGTTGAGGTGCTGCCCCAGAAATGGGAGCAAAGAAGGGAGGAGGCATGGTAACATGCCTCCCCAAGCGGCGACCTACCATCTGTTTTTAACCTCACTAATTGGCAAGCACACATCAGCATACTTTTCGCGTTTTTTCAAGTTAAGATACAACTACTTTTTGAGCCAAAATCCTTTAATTACCCCCAAAGTATTGGGAATAGCAGCTATGGAAGGACTGAGGGGGAAATGATTGCTGTGACAAGAAAAAGAAAGGGAAAGCCGGTTTGCAGAACACTGCCAGCCAAAGAACGATTTCTGGAACAACAAATTACTGGACGTTGATTGAACACTGAGGTATTTAAAGTTTAAAGTTTGGAGTATCAACTCGGGAGGAATTAGAAAATGGCGGCGTTAGAGGAAGAAGAAGAGTGGGACTTGGATACGCCTGTAGGATAACTCACCTATGAACAATTCAAACGATTCTTGGCTAAGTCAATTAAACAAGCAGTGGAAAATGCCTGTAAAGATTTGTTTAAGGCATCGAAGGATGAGCAACGTAACATAGAGAGTAATGAAAAACTTAAATGCCATTTACAAGAGCCAGTTGCAATACGGGGTGATTGCCAGGAGATGGAGTCTGCAGACAAGAAACTTTTAATTATACAGAATGCAACAAAGGTCTGCATCCACAGGACAATATGAGAAAGATCTATTAAGATTAAAGAAGAAAACGGAAATGAATAAAGGATATGTAAAAACTGTTGTACTGCAAGAAGAACAAATCAAAAAACAAAAAGCTAAGAGACTTTGGAAAGGACTTTAAAAGAAAAATAGATGGATTATGGAAAAGGAAAAAGCAAAGGGAAAAGGAACGTTTGGGTTTAAGATCACATGAGTACAAAAATTTAAGGCATAGTTTTGCGATTAAGAAGAAGAAGCTAGAGACAACAGAAAGCTGGAAAAAGAACTTGGGACAAGATTATGACCTAGAATTTAACCTTTCTATTTGACAAACAACCCGGGCTAAATAACTGCGCGATTGCACGATCCGACGTCCCGTGTAACTCCCGTGGAGGTCCGAAGGTTAGGGGGGAGGTGCCGATCACACCACAGGCAACGAAGCAGGGCGGCGCGGCAAACGGGGTTGTATTTGTTTTGTTTAACCTGAAGTGTGTGCATGCTCCGTTGGGTGCTTGTGCGCATCCAGTGGAGACTTGGGGAAAAAAACCCTTTTGCACTCCTCAGTTTCTGTTTCAGGTGGGTCTTCCGAGGGTCAAACGACACAGCCCCTGTCCCCCTATAGCCGCCCTTCCCCACTCCCTCAGCTGTTCCTTCAGCCCCCTGCCCCCAAACGAAGAAAACGGAAATGAATAAAGGATATGTAAAAACTGTTGTAAGAAAAAGAAAGAAGGTGACTAAAAACAAAAAGCTAAGAGACTTTGGAAAGGACTTTAAAAGAAAAATAGATGGATTATGGAAAAGGAAAAAGCAAAGGGAAAAGGAACGTTTGGGTTTAAGATCACATGAGTACAAAAATTTAAGGCATAGTTTTGCGATTAAGAAGAAGAAGCTAGAGACAACAGAAAGCTGGAAAAAGAACTTGGGACAAGATTATGACCTAGAATTTAACCTTTCTATTTGACAAACAAGGGATCTTAAGAAAGGAAATTGGTTTTTTTGGTATATGTTGAGAATGAAATGAAATAGGGAAGAAGGTGCTCAGGGACTGAAAATGTATTGTCTTTAATGGGTAGAAATTTTTGTTTAGAGATATATGGCAATGAGTAATATATTGATAAGTAATAATGAAATTGTTGGTAGGGACTTGGTTATTTTATGCAGTGTAGAAGGGCATTAATTAGTTGTTATAATATGGTGGTGGACTTGGTGATATGTTGATTAGTAGAATTAGGAAGAAAAGCTGTTGAGATCTCAGGTATGTTTGTGTGTGTATGTATGTTATGTTTGTTACAGTTTGTTTCTTTTTTACTCCCTTATTATTTGACAGAAGATTATAAATGTAATGCCACAGGGAGGAGAATAGTTAAGAACTTTCACAACATAATGCCTCTTTGTGGTAGAGCATTTGTATTGATTAAGGGTTGTAAGGTGATTATAAATTTGTCTATTGTGTAGAACTGTTTTTGTTTGTATTTTTATTGTCATAAGAGGGTTAGAGATGGGTTCTGATAAAAATGAAGTAGTACTAGGAAATAATCTGAGGTGGTGTGGCAATATGTAAACTTGGCTAGGATTGTAATTATTCTTTCTGTAATGGAATGGCTCATAAATGATTGTTATGAAAGAGTAGATATGGGCAATGATAAAGTTAGCTCCAAGGGAAGATAACCAACTGCAAATTTATACGTAAGTATTAATATCAATTTGTTAAATCAGGTGATATGGGAGAAATGAGTGTGGGAGCTATATAGAGAATTAGGAATGGCGCGAATCAAAAAATTGGCGAAAAATTTAATCAGACAGGTGAAATGATGAATTTATTAACTGATTATGATCTGCACTGTTTATTGATGAAATTATTACCTTATTATTATTTGCATGCTTTATTTTCATTGATGTGTTAAAATACGTAGGATTAATTGGTAAACTTTTCGGTGAAAATTAATAAAAAGATTTATTAAAAAAAAGGCTTAGGGAAAGCATCTGTGGAAGTCTTGTCCTCCTGCAGGTTCTGCCTTCAGTACTTTCCTGTCCTTAACTCTTAACTCACACCCCCATCTCCCAACAAACCGCCTGTTTCTCTCACTCCCTCCACCACATATCTCAATTCATTTGCTTGTGCAGATGAACACCTTTGGAGGAGGACAAAATTGTAAGGTGATTCTATCCGCTGTAAATGCATCCTCTCTTCCTCTAGAACCTGGAAGCCACAGACCTTTTCCCTCTTGGGGAGGGGCTGTGGCTCAGCGGTAGAGCACCTTGAGCCAAAGCCCCTCCCCAAGAGACATCATCTGCCTGATCCCCTATTAGATAGCTCAGTCTGGAGATCAGCTGCAATTCTGGGACATCCTCAGGCTCCTCCTCAGGCTTGCTTTTAAACCTTAAATCTGTCTGGACTTGGCTTAACTGTGAACTCCATACCTCACTTCTGCACCCCTCCATCAATGTCCACCCATCTCTGGCTTCCCTCTGATCTGTAAACCAGGGACTTCTCTCCCTTCATGTACTTGCCGCAATAAGCGAATAATGCTCGTGTATGCTAGGGAGCGTTGCATGCAAGGATGTTTGTGTCCTCTTTGCTTTGGCCTCTGATCAATCTGTCCAGCCTGGTCAAATGACTGAGACGGGTATCACCCCCTGTGGGTCTTGGTTCAGTGATGGTTCAGCACAGGCAGGTGAGAGCCATGCTTCTTCAGCCTTTCCTTTATTGGGGCACTGTCTCGATGGCACATATTCAAGCCACTGAAGTGGCAAAGACAAGAGTCCTTCAGTCTTGTATCTAGCACGATCCTAGAATAAAAATACTTGTGGTCTCCATTCCATTCTCCTGAACAAACCGTAGCTCCGTAAGGCACACCTGGAGTGGCTGTTGCCAGCCAAAGGTCTCAGGAAGTCACCCCCTTTTGTCTGCCTGCCATTTGAGAGAGGAATTACTCAGCGCCTAGAAACATTGTTGGCTAGAAAAACCTACTCACCTTTGCCCACCGATGACAAATCAAGGCTGGGTGCCTCTACCTGCAGGCATTGTGCTCCTGTTCCTTCCACCCACAAGCAGTCAGGGCAGCTTAGCCTAAAGTTGTCAGGATGTTACTGCGTGGAGCCCCTAGATGTGGATGTGGAACAAACAACATATGTGGAAAGCATGTCTCCAGCTTGACGTTAAAATACATGTGGTCTCCATTCCATTCTGCTGAACAAACAGTAGCTCAGTGAGGCTCACCTGTTGCCAGCCAAAGGGCTCAGAAAGCCACCCCTTTTTTCTGCCTGCCATCTGAGAGAGGAATTACTCAGCATCTAGAAACACTGGTGGCTGGGAAAACGTACTCACCTTTGCAAACGGATGGCAAGTCAAGGCTGGGTTCCTCCACCTGCAGGCCTTCCGCTCCTGTTCATCCCATTCGCAGGAAGGCAGAGCAGCTTAGCCTAAACTTGTCAGGATGTTAGTGCCTGGTAGCTCCTCGATGTGCAAAAGACATGGAAAGGATGCCTCCAGCATGACGTTGCTGCTGCCGTGGGGCAGGTCTCTCTGCAGCCAGAGGTGTACAAGACTGACGGCACCTGGACAGGGGAATTCTTTTCTTGGCCTGGGGGATTCTCCTAGAGTGGAAACCCAGAGGGAGTAACGCATAATGGCTGGAGGCTCAGAGAATTGGGACGGAACTCATCTCAGACTTTCAGGGGACAAGTAAACACCCAGGAGGCCGTGCAGCACATGTAAACACGCAGTGGACCGGCCCAGCTGCCCCCTGTCCTAAACCTGATAAAGACCTGCAGAAAGGCCTAGATTTCTTTTTAACCTTTGATCTTAACTGACTGTGCTAGGTTTGCAATGCCCCCCGCGTGGATTTGTTGAGCTGGCATTGCCACAGTAGCATTGGTTCTGCTGGGCACTCTGTACATCCACTGGTTTGACTGGCCTTGGAGGAGAGAGCACCAGAGCCTTGCAGCCTTGTTGTAATA